TTATAATTAAACCAAGAATAGTCAAAAATGTCCCTTAAAACGTATCAAGAAATCCGACCCGGACTGGGATTGCGCAACCTGTGACGACCGTCGTGCCTGCGACGGTCCGTCCTGCAGGTCGTCGCAAAGTTCAGAGACCCAAATTTCCACCAAGGGTCTGTGACGGTCCGTCACACCTGTGACGGTCCGTCCTGCCATTTCGTTACAAAGTTCAGAGAGTCGATTTCAGCACCCAAATTTCAGAATTTCTAAGTGTTTTGGGACGAGACACCCTCGACGGTCCGTCGTGCCCATGACGTTCCGTCTGCTGCTCAAAACGACTAAACAGGTCGTTACAATTATTTTATTTCAGGGTAACATACTAAAAATAGTTGAACAATTTTATTTAACAGGCAGAAAAATAATTATGTTGCAAGTAATTACCAAAGAGTCTTACCAGAAAAACTAAATTTGTTTTAATCTCTTGATTTTATTTTTGGTGCAATAAATAAATTCCTAAATGAAGAATTTCTACTCAATTAACATGCTGAAAATTATTGACATACAAAGAATTTATCAACAGCCGACCAATTAACCTACTAAATTATTAAAACCTGATTTTAACATAGAATCTAATTATTTTAAAACTTCTTAACAAATTTAAATTTACTAAATAAAATTATTCAGCATGTTGAAAATTAATATTATTTAGAAAACTCATATCATGATGACTAGTTTATTATTAATCGATTTTCAAAAATAACATAGAAGACAAGATTTTAAGAGTTCGAGATTATGTCAAATTAAACACATATTCACGATAAGTTAATTAATGAAAACATGGTTTCTCAATAATTATAGGCATGATAATTTTATTCGCAATTTAAGATTAAGTAGAATTTGATTAATGAACTAACAAGCTTAAGTTATTGAAACGTGCAAGAATAATTGATTAACCTTGACTTTATTAGTTAAGCCCTATGAGCATGACATCTATGTTTTAAAGGTTTATATGTAGTATAGCACCTATAGGCACGATTACTAACATAATTATTTGAATCTTATAGGCATGGTTTTTAAATAAATAAATAAGTTGTGATAAAGTATATAGTAGCACGTATAGCACCACACCCACTTATACGATACCCCAAATTCATTTTATATATAGAGAGTTAGCGATTTATATAAAGTATTGCAAAACAAAAAATAAAATCGAAAGAGATACATAAATAAGCTAAAATCCATCGATATCTTCTCCAAAGCGACTCTTCAAAACCTTGAACTCTAAGATCAAGATTCTACTAAACAAAAATACTAAAAATAAGAGATCATAACTACATAGATAGAAACAGATATTATTCACGGCCAACACACGAGTTTCAACATATAAGATCACACGTTGAGAGAAAGGATAAGAATACTAACCCGGATGCTTCCTATATCACCATAAACTCACATAAATATGGACGCAAGACTAATATAAATGCTAAATAATGATGCTAACCAGTAAAACACAAAAGATTATAAGCAATGAAGTATTTAGTAAGATTGTCAATCCACAACCATTACACAGCAAGAAAGAATGCTCAAAGTTTCCCCAAAATCATCTTCTTTTTTTTTGACATGAGAGATTATTATATTTTTAGTGTTCAAGTCAGAGTATTTTATGAGTGTAGCACCGATGAGAATAATGAAAAGAGGAGTCTCTTTATATAGTTTCTAAAAGCTGAGAAAATAAGGAAAGGAACTGATAGGGATTCCTTAAATATTATTTTTTCTTAAATGAATAAAATTCAAAATTAGAATTATGTTAAAAAAAATTTACCAAATATAACAAAGTAAAAAATTTGTCAATTTTAAATAAGGAAAAAGTAATTAATTAATATCTTTTACCTATTTCACAAGAGCAAAAATCAGATTTGTTATTTTCCTTTTACAAATAGAGATATTTACCAAACTAATAAAGATTTTTTCAAAAATAAACAAGAAATAATAAGACTCACATACAACTTATATTAAAGTATTAAAAAATCAAGCAAGAGCTTCAATTATTTAAGGAAACAAATAATTATTAACCAAGTCAAGTGCCAAACACAATCTATGTACTAATTATTAAGCAATTAGCATTAGTATAGCATACTCTATGAAAAGGAAGTAATCGATTCACGGATTAAAACCAGTAAATGGTCCACCTTGATTAATAATAACACAACCAATTACTCGCATTGGCATTTTACCCCAAGAACTGAAGTATCGACCTTACCATAAGCTAGAAGAATCAAAATCCAATCATACTACTAAAAATAATATAACAACCAATTAAACGAGTCCAATAATGGATCAAATTAACTGTAATGAAGCCACTTTCTACTAATCAGCTACTTATTTCAGCCAATTTCTGAAATCAAGAATATCATTTAACCAATTAATTTATCGTTTAAATAAGAATTAGAATTTATTAGCGGGAATTTAACGGTCCACTACCAAAAGTGAATGTAGAGCAATGATCAGTCAACATACGAATAGCCAAAGCGCAGTAATCCATTTAGCGCACATAATAACAGAGTTTCTCAAAGCTAGATTATTTAAACATTTGCAAAATTTGATCTTATGCAAAACAGGAAATGGACATTAGAAACACACACCTAGACGGATCCAATAAAATCTTTGGAAAACTTATCGAAATTGGTTCGGGTTCGAAGTTCTCGTCGTTGTTGTTCGGTTACCTTATTCTCGTGGCTGCTAGTTGGAGCTTGCTTCCTAAAACTCCCCGGCTGGAGCTGTGTGTTATCGTCGTGCGCTGCTGCTGTTTTTGCTGCTGGAGCTGCTGGACCGAGCACCTGTTGTTCGCGAAGTGAGGAGAGAAATCGAGGAGAGAGAGACGGGGAAGAGAAAGCAGCGCCACGCCTCTTGGCAGTGACGTCTTCACCCGATCACAGAGAGAGGGAGGGAGGGTGGTAGCATGGAGAGAGAGGAGAGACAGTTGGAGAGGAAGGAGATAGAAGGGATAAAAAATAAGGGTTTTGGTCTTTTTGATATTAAAAGGAATAGTTTGGTAAATCTAGACCCTTGAATCTATTGAGATGTAGGGTTACGATTTGATCTTGGATTTGATTATTTAAACAGATGGATGAGTCTAACATATGAAATCTTAAAATTAGATTGGATAAGATTTGGAATGGCTAAAATTGAAATAAAATTGGTTAGAATTGAATTGAAAGGATGACTATAATTGGAATTGTAGTGGTTAGAATTGAAAAAAATTGAAATAAAGTAAGCTATCTTAAAAATAATTTGGAGAAAACTTAAAGAAATGTTATTCAATTAAAATACTATCAATATTATAATATATTTTATATAATTAAAATAACTTCAATTTTAAAACATTCAAATAAACTAATTATTTTGAGTTTTTCTAATAACTTTTAAAATATTTTAATAATATTTACAATAATTTTATAAAAGGTAAGCATACTAAAATAAATTATTTTATACAAAATCGTCTAAAATTTTAAACTTTAAAAAATATTTATTTAATCCAATAGCATCACTAAAAATGTTTAAAGGTCGGTCAATATTGGGTGTCAACAAACAATCAACAATTTCATATACTTATACATGTCACAACAACACCAATATGTATATGTATATGATGTACATGTACTTTAGTTTTTCATTAATATACACATTCTGAATATACACTTATATAAACGATTACATACACAACTTACGTTTTATACTCATATTTACAGTTTCATGCAATATAGATTTTTACATTTGTATAAGAACCGTATTTTCAAAATTAGGATGAAGTTGCACTGTATAAAACAATTAGATAATAGTTTTACATACGAATTATACATATCTTATTGTATTATATCTTAACACCTATACGTATAAATTGTAAGCAAATCATAATACAATTTCATCTTTATGCATATTTTCGACATCAAACATACAAATCCAAACACAAATATTACCGTGAAATGAACGGATCTCCGATCACAAATTCAAAATAATCAACAATTTCATATAGAAAATTTTCAAACACAAATTTTATTAGATTTCAAATTAAATATACGAATCATAAGTGTTAAACTCTATTACGAACAAAATAGACCTCTGAATATATATTCAACATAAATTGATGAAATTCAAAAAGTAAATCTGATTTCGAATACACGTTGAACACCATTTTTTATCAGAAAAAATAAAATTAAAGTATGTTTTCGTCATGAAATTACCTCCTGTTGTTATATCTAAAATAAATATGATCTCCATTGTTTTTATACTACCGTCAACAACTTGATCGATATTCTGAACTGAGTTACAATGGAGTTCTTACTGTTGAAGAAGACGTAAAAGGAATGAAATTCGATTGACACAGGATGTGCGTGACTTCAACAATTTTTTCCTTTTTTTTCTAACTGAAATTAACGGCTATTTATTTAAAAATTCCAAACAATGAAAATGTATATTAAATAAAAGGTATACGATATATACAGAAAGACAATAAATACTAAAATTAGTTATGAAGTGTAATTATATAAGCAATAGCATACAATTATGATTTTTATATTTATTATATGTAAAATTTACTCATGTTTATTTGGTAAGTATTTGACACAATATGTTATAAGTGCATTTAAATGCATGATAAATATATTCTTCATAAATAAAACTTATATTATATGTATTTTATAAATTGCTCTCCATATATTAAAATTATAATTTCAATGTTTAAATAAAAAATATGTTATTGCTATAAATGATAAATACATTTTAAATATTTTAGGGAAAATGCCCAAATACCCCCTCAATCTATTCCCAAAATCCCAAGGATACACTTATAATATACTAAGGTCCTATTACCCCCTGAACTTACTTTATAAGTAATTTTTTACCCCTTTTCAGCCTACGTGGCACTAGTTTGAAAAAAAAGTCAATCATCGTTGGACCCACAAGATAGTGCCACGTAGATCAAAAAGGAGCAGAAAATTATTAGTAAAATAGGTCCAGGGGTAGGATCTTAGGATCTTAATAAAGTATAAGTCTGTCTCTGCGATTTTGTGCATAGATTGAGGGGGTACTTGTGCATTATCTCAATATTTTATATAAGTTTCCGAAATAACAAATAGTTGACTTGAATGATATTAGTCAAAAACAAAGAAGAAAAAAACAAAGTTAAGTCTAAAATGAAAAGAAGACAAAAAATATCTCATTCAAAATGTTTAGATGACCCCTTTACCACTCTTAAGGGTCATTTGGTGTGAAGGATAAACACAAATAAACCGAGATAAAGATTTAGTAGAACTTAATTTAGTGTTTGGTTGGAAAGTTTGGAATAACTTTCCCCGCGGTTATTAGATAGTATCGGGATAAGTTATTCCTCCAAAAGGGTGGTATAATAATCCCATCACAATTTTTGATGGGTTCAACTTATTAAATGAAAACATTACCCTTTTAGAATTAGAGGATTCTCCAAACACAATTACATCCTGTTGGTGCCGTTTCTCTGCATCAATTGAAAGAATGTTTCTCTGCATCAGTTGAAAGGATGTTTATTTGGCTGCATTTCTTAGCAAAAATATGCTACTTAATGCTGGAAAATGCCATAACTTAAAGGTCAAATGTTTGTTGTTTTTTGGATAACTTTTTGAGGCTAAAAATGAGAAAATTTAGTATAATTGTTGCTGCATTTTGTGGAGAATACAGTTCTTTCTTAAGAATGGAGAATGCATTTTATGGGTTATAATATCTACTTATTTTGTTTATTGATTTAATCGTTAATCCATTAAGAATTATCAATTATTTATATTATTTTTAGGTTCGATTCGACGAGATTTTAGATCATAATAAAGCAAATTTTTGAGATGCTTCTACCTTTGATGGATTAGTAGTTAAATTAGGTTTTAACTAAAACTCTATCAAAATAGTACATACAAAAATCTAGATAAGAGGGTATATTTGTAATCAAACCACTTATTTTTAAGAGTATGTAATGGTTCGTAACGACCATCAAAATGAATTAGATTGAACTAGAGCTTCACTTGTGTTTTAAGTGTTGTTAACCAGTTAATTTAATGCATGAATGAGTTTTTAGGTCAGTTTGGGTGAGTTTGAAGTCAAACTTCAAGGAATAACCAAGACATTCGATGACTAGTCATCTATGTGCTTTTGTGTTTTCTAGTGTGCCTTGCATGTTTCATGAGTTGTTTGGTGTCTAAAATAACTGTAGAGGATACTAAGAACTAGATGAACATGTTTAGGGGTTCAAATTCAGTGTAGGACTCCACCAAGGATCCACGAGGGGCCCTAGAGGAGGACCCCAGCTCTTAGCGAAGATGCCGCCAGGCAGTCTCAAACGACGACCACAAGGGACGGCCAGTGGTTCAATCGATAGCTTGTCAACCTTGGGCGTCGATTAGACCTGAAAGGCCTTCACATTTTTAGTCTCTATCCCAAACGACGGAACACCACCGAAGGGGCGTCGATCAAATGATGGCCAGTAAATTTGGGCCTGCAAATTTTTGTTGCAACTCGGCCAAACTATGGGGGATATGGTAAATTCACCCCAAGCATATTGAAGTGAATGGACATTTTATTTAGGTGAATTTATGTACTTTAAGAGTATTTAAGTAATTCAATCCTCTCTTATACCCTAACACCTAAATAACAACACTTGCCTCCCAAAGTTCTCTCCAAAAAAAAACCCCATGGAAGCTCAAGGCCAAGATGGAGCTAGGATGGTGGATTCTAATGGCTTTATTCTTCAATTCTCTTTGGATTTCTTATAATAAGGTATGGGAATTCTTTATCTAAGGCTTTATATCCCCTCAAATCCAATTTCAAAGTGATATCCAGAAGATCTCAAAGTTTATGAAAAAATCCAATTTTCACTCTGTCATGGGTTCTTGCATGAAACATTTTCAAATAATTAGATAATAAATTATTGATGTTAAATTGATGCTTTACAATAAAAATCTCCCTTGATCTTCTCAAAATCTCTAAATTTGTCTTACGAAGGGGTTAATTTCTTATGATCTAATGATGATAGAATTGAGTTTGGATTATGTTGTAATATTGATTTCTACGGTCAATTATGCTATTATAATGTAAATTGTTGGAGATGTTAATTAATGGTGATCTTGGCTATTAGAAGAAGGTAAGTTGACCTAATTCCCTTAGTAAATGTAGAATTGATATAGAATTGTTATTGATTGGTATGGTCCACTAATGGTGGAGGTTCTAAAGTGTTGTATATGATGATGATCATGGCCTTATCAGCATTATTATGTGAACTACAGATGATGATCATGGCCTTGTCGGCATTATTATGTGAATTGTAGTAGTATCATATGAATGTATAATGTGAAGTTGGTTATGAAGTAATGTGACTATGTGCAAGGTGTTATGGGTTAAATTAATATATAAAGTGAAGGATGATGTGATATATGTGTGATCTTATATAATGTGAATGTATTGAGTGAAGGTGCTCATTTGATGTCTATATGATCTTGATTGAGTGCTAACATGATATGATTTTTCTCTAATTGATGTTATATTGTAATGAAGGACTAAGAAGTGTCCTTATAGAATGATGTTGTATCTTGTATGGGTATACTTAGTTGCCCCTAGATGGTACTTGAATGATATAAGATAAATGATAATGATCATGATGTGCCTTGATTGGTAGATTTAGGTCCCTCTTCTTTATACATGAAAGTTAGTTTAATATGTGATCTATTGACTTGGTAGGCTTAGGCACCCTTGTTAAGTATGAATGAATGGAAGTATAGGATCGGTAATCCTAAAGTTGGTGCCCTTTCGTGAATGATTAAATGAGGTATTCTAGATTATGCCTTGAATGATTCCCTTTCTTGATGAGTTTAGAACCTTAAGAGAGTGTGGAACCTTGAATAAGAAAAGAAGGTTAAGAATGTAAAACCTTAAATATGAAAAGAAGGTTGAGAATTTGAAACCTTGAATATGAAAAGAAAGTTAATAAGAAGCCTTAAAGGAACGGAC